ACTCGGGAGGCTGAGGCAGGAGAATGGCGTGAACCCGGGAGGCGGAGCTTGCAGTGAGCTGAGATCCGGCCACTGCACTCTAGCCTGGGCGACAGAGCGAGACTCCGTCTCAAAAAAAAAAAAAACAAATAATATGCAGCCCGGCGCGGTGGTTCACGCCTGTAATCCCAGCAGTTTGGGAGGCTGAGGTGGCCGAATCACCTGAGGTTGAGAGTTTGAGACCAGCCTCACCAACAGGGAGAAACCCCATCTCTACTAAAATAGAAAATTACCCTGGCATGGTGGCACATGCGTGTAATCCCAGCTGCTTGGGAGGCTGAGGCAGGAGAATCGCTTGAACCCGGGAGGCGGAGGTTGCTGTGAGCCGAGATTGCGCCACTGCACTCCAGCCTCGGCAATAAGAGCGAAACTCCATCTCAAAAAAAAAAAAGAGAGAGAAAAAAATAATATGCATACCTCTTGGGGGGAAATTCAGTTCTTTTCATTTCGTATCTTTTAAACTTGTTTCCTACCAAACCCCAGCTTTTGATTGTGTCTCATTTGGGAAATAACTTCAAGGGGAAAAAATTCTAGCTCATATTAATTATGTAACAAATTGCCACACTATCTTAACAGTATTTCATTATTAGTAGAGGTGACTATTGTACTGCTGAAGATGAGTGTGATAAAGGTTTTCAAAAGAATAACTGACTGTCATTGTAAGAGCCTGGGATTTTCTGACACCATTATTTGAAATTTTAACATGATGATGTAAACAGATCAGATAGATAGGAATGCTTATTTGATGATGATTATTGTTTGTTTTTACAGAGTTCCGTTCTGGAAAGGCACCCATCCTTATTGCTACAGATGTAGCCTCCCGTGGGCTAGGTTTGTATAGATAGGCGTCTCTGTCAATGGTATATGTATCTTTTGGTTTAAAGATTTGTCATTTCAAATTCAAACTTCAAGTTTAGAAAGTTGTATATACATGTGGTTAGATAAATATTTGAAAGAAAAGAATACAAAGCGTGATTCTCCCCGTTCCCCGCCCCCCACAATTTTTTTAAAACCTTAGTTTCCCCCACCCCCCTTTTATTTTCAAATTCTCTTCCTGCTCCTAACAAACAGGCTTTGGTCTGCAGCAAGGCCTAGGCATGACTATGCAAACAGGGAGAGGAGACAGTCAGTTGAATGGCTCAACTTCTCTCTGGTGGTGTTTTCTGGCTGGATAGAATAAGCCTGACGAAACCTAGCTATTGTAAGCTAGTTTCTTCAGTTATTCTTTTCCCTATCCCTGTCTAAGTTAGATATATACAGAGGTCCAGTTTTATGAATGCTTATTAGATGGAATGTTATAAGTCTAATGCAGTATCAGAATAGCAATCAAATTTGTATTGCCCAGTTTAATTTACTGACGTCAAATTATCATGGGCACTTGGCTATCCCCTCCTCCTACCCATACGCTTATCTATAGGTGTGTTATCCAACCGATGGTTTTCTGGAGTTTTTGACCCATTACCATTTAAGATATACAGAGAATTTTATGGTAGTTTAGCCCACTATTCTGAGCTAAACAGGTCTAACTCAGAACTTTTATATTTTAAAAAAAGATTATCTGTATTACAAGGAAATCCTTAAATCATTGACAAGTATTTAATTTGCCCAGTAAGGTGAGAAGTACCGTATTATTCCCTTATACTATTTAATATAAAGAGAACAGGTATTCAGACTGGAATACAAACGTAATGAAGCCTTTTTATGCATTGCACTCATCATTCCCTCCTTCAGAGGTGGTGACCTGCAGCCATGATGGAAAGTTCTCTCTGCCCCTCTGCCCTCTGAGGTCATGTCTGGATCTGTGCCATTAGAACTTGGGCCTGTTGGGAGAGGAGGCGGAGGCCTGAAAGCAGTTTACATAAAGCTTTCAGTAATGGTTGGTTTTTAAACAGGCTTGCTATGTGCTGGTAGCTTCTTTGTGCATCTTGCCTAGACAATTAAAAATATTTGCTCTACATCCCCTTGCATTTCTAAACCAAATTAATTGGCTACCATTAGAATAACTTAGACTCTTCATCCCACCCCCACTCATCCAAGTGAGGGGAGAGGGAAGGTACCCGAGTCTGTTTCTTGTTACTCAACATCAGTGCTTGTTTTGGGCCCCTTTGTTTGCTGCCTTGTAAAAAATCAAAAGAGGGAGAAAACCCACCAAAATGGCAGAATTCTGACCAATGTCCTACAAGATCCTGGAAAGTGAAGGCTTCTACCTCATAGACAGGGGTGCAATTTTCAGCTGAGTCACCAGGCCTTTTTTCACTTCCTGTCAAGCGATGGTCTCTTAAATGTTCCCTTCAGGTAAGTTCTTTGATTCCCATAATTTTATAATAGTCATCCTTAGGCTCCACTTCCCTTTCCACTGGGATATTTTTTATTTTTCCTTTTTTGTGTTTAAACTACACACTGTTAAACTAAAAGTATTGAATTTATTTTGTTTTGTTTTTTAACAGAAGCTTTGATATCAGCTGCAGATCACTCAATACATGGCCGAGACAAATCTACATTGGCCGGAAGCAGCTCTAGATGAGCCTCTTGGCTAGACTTAGTCCCTCCTAATTAGTGATTGGAGATTCAGGCCATGTCATAGGGGCTTTCAAACAAAAAGTTCCTATCCCAGTCAGCTGGCCAAAACATTAACTTTCGATTTCTTACCCTGCTACAGCATCATCTAGAAAGGCAGCAAGATAATATTGTGGCAGTGCACAGATAACATCAGGGTAGACTTGACTGGAGAAAACCAAATTCTACGCTTGCTCATATGTGCCCCCATCCAGCTGTGTGTGCACACACAGGACACCTTTCTAGTATGAAGAACTTTGCATCATGTCTGCCCTCTATTGAACACCCCCAGAAATACTTCCAAGTACTAGCATGTGAACTGTTGACTGCAGCCCCTGGTGCTTTCTGCTAGGAAAGCACTTACGCATCCAGTGTAGTAATTGAACTTGTTCTGCTGCCATGGTCATATGCAGTGGGATTGCATAAGGAGCATTATCTTAGCTCTGAAGATACCATGGAGTAGAATTCCCCACCCCCCTGTCTTACATCCACCCTGGCCCTGTAAATTCTTTTTTCCTTTGTTGCGTCAACGACCCTAGCCGGAGACTCAAGCTGCCCCCTGTGATAAGTGCCTTCTCGTCTTTCTGGTGTGATTCAGGACTTTAGGGGTCAGTAAAGACCGAGGAGCCTTTATTGTAATAAGAAACAGACATAATGCCCCTTCTTCACAAGCCCTGTAACAACAGCTAATTTTTTTTTTTTAATCTCCCCTTTCTCCCTTGAAATTAATCCAGTCTGGGCAATAGATGCAGTCTGACCCTTTGGATGTAACTTACATTTTTTTTATTAATTATTTTTTTCTACAATCACCCCAATTATCCTTGGGGGAGGCGTTGGAGGACCTGAAATTTTTACCCGAACCCAGGTTCTCCGGCGCTTGGCAACCAAATGGGGCTACAGAGAAGCATCTAAGCCAGTTCACAGAGCGAGCGTGTGTGGGGACTTCTCACTGCCACGGACCCTTGATGCATGCTCCCCGCGCTCCAGTGGTCCCGTGTCAGAAGGCGGAGTTTTCGAAAGGAGGCCGCCAAAAATAAAAGGCAAAGAGACGGGATCGGCTGCAGCGGTTTCCCAAAGGAGGAGGGAGTGTGCATCGGTCTGGTAACAAACAGAGAATGTTTTTTAATTATTTATATCACAAAAATCTGTGTTTTATCTAGGATATTTTCTGAATATTCTTTGTAAAATGCAGATTTTTTTCCACAAAACAGTAGGATTCTTTGTTATATTCTTAAAATTGTTTGTTTAGGTAAAAATATACATTCAGCTGAAAGCATTACACTAACATTTACATTTTAAGCCTTAGGAGGTTATTCAGCCCAATTCCCAGCAGTGGAGAGAATACTAAACTTGTGTCTCAAGGTTTCATGGTTTTCCCACATTCTTTGGCTATTAATTTAATTTCCCAGGTCACGTAGACAATCATTGATAATTGAAACAAGTCCTGAGTTGAAATAACCTTGAGTTGAGCAAAAATATCCTCATTTTGGCAGAAGCTGGGCTTGGTAGTACAGTAAAATTTTAGTGTAATGTGCTCTTGTAATTGAAAGGGGATAGATAATCTGGATGTTTCTGCAAAGGAAAATAGGTGTGTACTTAACAGCTTTGACTCTACTCAGTTTCTTAAAAATATAAGAGCAAAAAAACAAGTTAAATGTTTTGATTAAGTTTCCTTTAAATTGTAGTAATAAAATATATGAAGCTCCTTTTTTTTACTTTGCTCTGTGACTGGTTTAAAGGTAAGTTTGTTATGTTGTTGGTAGATTTTGCCAGGCTTCTCCCAACAGAGTAGAAGTGATTAGGCCTTGTAACTTAACAGTGGTTTACCACTTTGTTCTACATTCCAGTTTTGTAAAGGATAGTATTGGAATTTGCGTCTGAAGACCAATCTTGGTGTAACTCCTGTCAGTATATTGGTAAAATGTAGCAGAGGCAGGAGTTTGGATGTTTGGATGGGATTCCCTTAGGATTCTACAGCCAATAAAGATGCTACTTCCCATGCATGTCCTAGGAATCAGTAATCCTCTTTTACTCTGTTGGGATGAGTCTTTTTTTGTTTCTGTTCAGAGTGGTTACTAACTTCACCTTCTTTCCTCTTGCTGTCATCTGCATTCGTGCTTCCCACCTGTTGTTGGCATGTCCTTTACCTTCTCTTTCCCTGCCACATCAACCTACACACTGACTCATCATTGACGTGGAAGATGTGGAAGATGTCAAGTTTGTGATCAACTATGACTATCCAAACAGCTCAGAGGATTATGTGCACCGTATTGGCCGAACAGCCCGTAGCACCAACAAGGGTACCGCCTATACCTTCTTCACCCCAGGGAACCTAAAACAGGCCAGAGAGCTTATCAAAGTGCTGGAAGAGGCCAATCAGGCTATCAATCCAAAACTGATGCAGCTTGTGGACCACAGAGGTGGCGGCGGAGGCGGGGGTAAGGGTAAGTCCTGGAGTTTTCCAGGTACTGCCAAGGTATCCCTTTATGCTTACTGTGCCTTGTTTTAGTTGCTGTTTTTAACCATGCGAAGGCTTTAAGTGTGTTGCTTCATAACAAAGGACACTGCCTAATGCTTTTTATAACCTTTTTCAACTAAGAAAATGTGAAGTTTGTTGTGATAGTTCTATCAGTTAAGCTAAATTGTGAATTTTTTTTTCCTTAGGGACTGGTCTGTTTTTTTGTTGTTGTGTTTTGTTTTTTGTTGTTGTTGTTTCTTTGAGACGGAGTCTTGCTCTGTCACCCAGGCTAAAGTGCAATGGTGCGATCTCGGCTCACTGCAGCCTCCGCCTCCCAGGTTCAAGTGATTCTCCTGCCTCAGCCTCCCAAGTAGCTGGGATTACAGACGCCTGCCACCACACCCGGCTAATTTTTGTCTTTTTACTAGAGATGGGGTTTCACCATGTTGGCCAGGCTGGCCTCAAACTCCTGACCTCAGATGATCCGCCTGTCTCGGCCTCCCAAAGTGCTGAGATTGCAGGAGTGAGCCACCACACCTGGCCGAGACTAGTCTTGAGTTTTAATGTGGTTGCTTTGGCAGGGCGGGGGCAGAGACAGAGTCTCTGTGTCTCCCAGACTGGAGTGCAGTGGCACGATCTCGGGTCACTTCAACCTTTGCCTCCTGGGTTCAAGCGATTCTCCTGCCTCAGCCTCCTAAGTAGCTGGTATTGCAGGCGTGTGCCACCATGCCCAGCTAATTTTTGTATTTTTTGTAGAGTACTGACCTCAAGTGACCCTCCTGCCTCAGTCTCCCAAAGTGCTGGGATTACAAGAGTGAGCCAGTGTGCCCCCGGTCATGGTTGCTTTTTTTTAATACTTTCAAAAATGCTTAGTAGTATATTAGGTTTACAGTTTTCCATACGGAGAGATCAGTCATTTTACACTGTTTAGTGGTGGGTAGAAACTGAGACATAGCAGTTGGATGTATAGTTGCAGAATATCCGAGGATCTGGGCTTCCTGACTCAAGGTTTCGTATTGTAACACCGTGTTTCTTGATCATCCTCAAGTAAAGGGACTAAAAGGGTGAAAAGGTCTAGTGTCCTTTGATATTTACTGTGCTTTCGAATGTGCCCCATTAAATAATCAAATTATGAGTATATTTTTACAGTACTAACTTGGAGGCTGGCCAGCATAACTAAGTATCAAGGAAACATGCTTAATACTTTAGTACCCAATAGAATTTTTATATTGTTATGTTTAGGTCATACATCTGGCATTAAAAATTCCCTTGTATGTTCCCATTAGGTGGTCGTTCTCGTTACCGGACCACTTCTTCAGCCAACAATCCCAATCTGATGTATCAGGATGAATGTGACCGAAGGCTTCGAGGAGTCAAGGATGGTGGCCGGAGAGACTCTGCAAGCTATCGGGATCGTAGTGAAACCGATAGAGCTGGTTATGCTAATGGCAGTGGCTATGGAAGTCCAAATTCTGCCTTTGGAGCACAAGCAGGCCAATACACCTATGGTCAAGGCACCTATGGGGCAGCTGCTTATGGCACCAGTAGCTATACAGCTCAAGAATATGGTGCTGGCACTTACGGAGCTAGTAGCACCACCTCAACTGGGAGAAGTTCGCAGAGCTCTAGCCAGCAGTTTAGTGGGATAGGCCGGTCTGGGCAGCAGCCACAGCCACTGATGTCACAACAGTTTGCACAGCCTCCGGGAGCTACCAATATGATAGGTTACATGGGGCAGACTGCCTACCAATACCCTCCTCCTCCTCCCCCTCCTCCTCCTTCACGTAAATGAAACCACTCAAGTGGTAGTGACTCCAGCAGACTTAAATTACATTTTAAGGAACACTCTTTCCTTTTTTTTCCTCTTCCCCTTTTCTTTTTTTCTTTTTTTTTTCCTTTTTCTTTTCTCTTTTTTTTTTTTTTTTATTAATTTTTCTCCCCAACCATCGTGATTTGTCTTTTCATGCAGATTAGTTAGAATTCACTGCCAGGTTTCTTCTGCCCGCCAAAATGATCCAGTCTGTAATAACATTTTGTAAAAAAAAAAAAAAACAAAAAAAAAACATATATATATATATAGCTGACTGGAAGAGATTAATTTCTTCCCCCAACTTCTTGCATGTTGAAGATATTCGAGCTATTTTTCATCTTAAAGAGTAAGGTATTAGGCCCTTTTGTGGGAGCCCATCTTTTGTTTTTTTCTGAGTTGGTGGGGAGGGAGGGAGGGAGGGGGAGGGCTGAATCGTTTTGCAGAGGAAGATGGCATCTGTGCTTTAAATTTCTCATTACTGGGTTAGAAAACAAACAGGGATTTCCCTGCACATTTTCTTTTGTGCTTTTAAATGTTTCTCAAGTTGGAACAGGTTTCCTCAGGCCTGTTTTGACTGATTGCTTGAGTGCATTTGACAGTTAAAAATCACTAATTGGTTTTATCTCCCTTTACACTCTGCCTTTCCCCCGCCCCCATTACTGAAAAATAACCATTTTAGTGTCAGGTTAGAAATTGAAATGCGGAGTCTTGTGTATCCTTTAAATTAAAAACCACAAGTGTTTATTGCAGTGGTTTAACTGTAGCATCTCAGCATCTGGGTGGAAGCTGCCTATATTTCCCGGTAAAACTGGGGACCATCTGTGAAATTAATTTTCCAGCCAGACAGCTGCTGTGAGCAAATGAACATAAATGCTCACTGGAAACTAACCAGTTTTTATATTGACCTGCAGTGTAAAAAGCACATTTAATTATAAACAATATATTCAAAATGGGCAGATTTTCTTTTGAAATGCAGTGTAGAGCTAGAATAAAAACAACTCTTTGCCAGCTACTCTGCCCTTTTGGCAAAGTTACCTTGAACAAAGAATCTTCAGGGTTTATTAAGAACTTTTATTTTCTTCATACCCTGTTCTCTGCAGTGCTTTCTAACAGCTTCTGGGTGCAGATTTTCTTCGGCATCCTTTTGCACTCAGCTTATTACAGGTAGGTAGTGCTTAAGAAAAGTCATGGAGGACTAAAGCCTAAGTCCTTTTCACTTTTCCTCCCTCTGAAGGTAGGTGAGTTCATCCTCTTCATAGTAATGCTGTTTTACCAAGACTTTTTATATAGCAGATGAACCCAGAAAGAATTTTCTGCTATTGTGTTCACTACAACAGGATAGAGACATCAGACAGCCCCAGAAACCCCTTTCAGATCTGATATGGGACTATTAATTTTTATGCTGTTAATTTGTATTCATTCACAATGCAGTTTAAGGCGGAAGGCTCCACTGCATTCTTTGGCTAAGGCTTGAATGCTTGCTGATTTGTAAGATCTATATTCGAGGTTTTTGTTTTCCTTTTAAAATTCTTTAGGGAGAGAGGGATGGTTTCTGAGGGGTTCTGAAAGTATGATTCAATGTGCAACATACAGGTAGGTCTTCAGCATAAGCTGAAATGTATGCATGTAAAAACTTTGACATCTTTTTTTTAATTTTCCACTTTCTTCTTTCTTAACTTTACTTCTCTTTTTGTCCCCCCCATCTTATAGAAGTTGAGGCCAAGGGAGGATGGTAGGCACAGACGAAACGTGGCAAACTGCTCTGTGCTTTCAAACCAAAGTGTTCCCCCCTACCCCAAATTTGTCTAAGCACTGGCCAGTCTGTTGTGGGCATTGTTTTCTACAACCAAATTCTGGGTTTTTTTCTTCTTTCTTTAAACATAGAGGTTCCACCACAAGGGATGCCCTACTCTCTCGCAGCTCTTGAAAGCATCTGTTTGAGGGAAAGGTCTCTGCAAGCAAGTGGTTATTTGGATTGCTTGCTTCCCTTTTTCCACCTGGGACATTGTAATCATAAAATAACAGTAAAACCTTAAAAGCTATTATGGTCTGAGCACAGCTGAAATCTAGCAGAGTTTAACTCTTCTGCCTCCATGTCTGTCACTCATAATTCAGGTTCTGCTGTTGGCTTCAGAACATGAGCAGAAGAATCATTTTATGCTAGTTATTGCATTCATGGTTGAAACTCAACTTAGGGAAAGGGTTTCAATGTATTAAGCAATGGGCTGCTTCTCCCCCAATCCTCCCTAACAATTCGTTGTGTGGACTTCTCATCTAAAAGGTTAGTGGCTTTTGCTTGGGATCAGTGCTCTCTATTCATGTTCTTGCTGGTCTCCAAACATTCCTGTTGCATTAAGACTTGAAAGATTTGTAGATGTGTGATGTTCAGGCACAGGATGCTGAAAGCTATGTTACTATTCTTAGTTTGTAAATTGTCCTTTTGATACCATCTTGTTTTCTTTTTGTAGGTATAAATAAAAACACTGTTGACAATAAGGTGTAAGGTTTTATTGCTTAAAAATTCTCTGAATAGTTCAATGTAGACATCTTAAAACAGTTTTTATTTGTTTCAAGACAAAGGTGGGGAATATTGGATTGACTGATTGGCACCTAAAACTGAAAGGAAAGTAGAATTGATTAAACTTAATGTAAGAGTTGGAATCGAAAACCCTAGCAGGATACCTAGTAGGTAAGGGTTTGGATGTATCTGTATCTGCTCATAAGTAAAACAGTGATTGCGCAAATGGTACTCACCTAAGTACCATTAGGTTATTGGTATTAAGGTACTAAGTGCAAGGCAGGTATCAGTCACTGGTTTGAAAAAATTCAAACCGGTAAAAGATGAGGCACAAAACTCTTCCAGCCAAACCTGGTAAATTTGGTTTGCTTCTGTCCTGAAGGCAGTATGAAAGTGAAATACGTTTCACACTTAAAACTAGCTGTCACTTTTATATCTTGACCACCTAAATTTGGTCACCTACCTGGAAAGTGGAAATTCACGAGAGCGTACTCTAATATTTTAACTGGTCTTTAGTTGGGACATTCTTAAGAGGAGGGACATTGTTCCAGATTGGGGTTGACTTCCTCATCATGAGTCTTGCCCTCGGGCCTTGGAGAGCAATCATTTATTTGGTCTTTTTCGTCGGTAAGGCACCTTAAGGTTTCTTGTTGCAGTCATTTTGAGGCACCGTATTTGTGCAGTTGGCCCAGGTTTTTATGACCTTACAATGAGTCTTTAAGGGCAGTCTATTGATGAGAAGGTCTTCTGGGTGGGATGATCAAGTTTTGCTGAAATCCACACTAAGCATTTTTCTGGTTTTAACATTTGATCCCAAATTATGGATAAGTTGCCAAAGAACATTCAAAATAGTTTCCTTCATGTGCTTGTTAAGGTGTAGACTATCTCAGAGCGTCCTCAGATTGGCATTGGAAGACTTAACTTCTTTCCCTTAAGGACTGGAAGAAAATGGAGATGAAATGAGAATTTACCATCTGATGAAAGGACTGCTTTATAACTTGGTGCATAATCTTATTATCATCTCTTAATGGCCGGCTCACAGTATATGTTCGATTGTTAAAGCAAAGGGGGAGTCTTCATCTCCGGTTGACTGTGGACCTGCTGATCCCCGCCTTGGTTACTGGCACCCTTCCCCACAGCTGTAAACTTAGTAGTTGGCCTCAAATTGTCTGTTGTACATCTCAAACAGTCCATCAGCAGTCCCTCTCAAGTCCCAGAACTTGTGTCCACATCTCTTTCTACCTAGAGCCGTTTCCCTGAACAACTGCAACTGCCCCATAGCTAGTCACTGTACTTGGACTGCTTTTTACCCTACATAGCAGCTAGTGGGTTGGGTTTTTAATGACACAATAGCCGCCCTTGGCAATCAGAACATAGTGCAAACCCCTTACCCCGGCCTATGAGGTGCTAGGTCAAGCTTGTCCAACCTGTGGCCCAGGATGGCTTTATGGCCCAACACAAATTTGTAAACTTTCTTAAAACACTGAGGTGTTTTTTTTGTTCATAAGCTATCATTAGTGTATTTTATGTGTATCCCTACACAATTATTCCAATGTGGGCCAGGGAAGCCAAAAGTTTGGACAGCCCTGCCCTATGTGAACTGGTCTTGGTTGACCTGTTATCTCCAGGTTTATAGATTTTGACAGCGCTAGCCTTTTTGTCCATCACACCAAGCTGTTGCCTTGGGGCTTGTAATAAGTTCTGGAATGTTTTTCACTACTAACCAAGTATTCTGTCAAATGTCATCTCACAGCTGTCTTGCATAGTACACATAACCTATTGACCATGTTTTGATCGCATTTCTTGAAAATATTTGTCTTGCATTAGAACACAAGCACTGTGAATGGCAGAGACTTGACTGTTCATGTCTGTATCTGCTGGAATACTTATTGAATGGATGAGTAACTCCTTAGGCCAGTGCCAGCATCAGTGCTGTTATCCCAGGACCTACCTTTGGTCACATACAAGTAGAAGAAGTCACAGTAGAAGATGGTTTGTACTACTCCAGACACCACTGCGATTTGGTCATAGAAATTCTCAGTCTGGTACCGCCTGATCCAGTTAGCCAGGTAGAGTGCCCGGTACAGACCCAGAAAGAACAGGTAGTGAGTAGTAATGGTCTCAGCCTCTCCAGTCTTGCTGATCATGAAGAGCTGGGGCAGAATAGCCACTGACTCCAGGTAGATAGAGAAAGTCCAGAGGATCTGAGCCAAAGAGAAAGCGGCCAGAGAATGAGCAAGACCAAGAAGAGGCCCATCTCCTTAAAAGAACATAATCACTAAAACAATAGCTTGCTGGGGAAGAGGTACAGTAAGGGGGAAAAAAAGTTCTCAATAAAAATTATATTTTAATCAGTTTAATGTACCATCTCTAGGTAAATATAAGGGGTTTTTTTTCTAATTTTTGAAAGATTATACAGTATACTGCTTTTTTTCACAGTGTGGCATGAGCATTTATATAAAAAACTACTTTTAATTGTTTTTTAAAGATGAGGTCTTGCTGTGTCATCCAGGCTGGAGTGCAGTGGCATGATCATGGCGTCCTGCAGCCTCGACCTCCTAGGCTCAAGCAGTCTTTCCATCTCACCTTCCCTAGTAGCTGGGACTACAGGCATGTGCCACCAAACCTGGCCAAAAATAACTTTTTTTTTTTTTTTTTTTTTGAGATGGAGTCTCCCAGGCTGGAGTGCAGTGGTGCGATCTCAGCTCACTGCAAGCCCCGCCTCCTGGGTTCACACCATTCTCCTGTGTCAGCCTCCCGAGTAGCTGGGACTACAGGCACCTGCCACCACACCCGGCTAATTATTTATTTATTTGTATTTTTTAGTAGAGACGGGGTTTCACCATGTTAGCCAGGATGGTCTCGATCTCCTGACCTTGTGAGCCACCGTGTGCAGCCAAAAATAACTTAAATGATAGTTTCATAGTATAAAATCATAAATGAAGCCACAATTTCTTAAAATCTAGTCATGTTGCCAGGCTCACATGTATAATCCCAGAACTTTGGGAGGCCGAGGTGGGTGGATCACTTGAGGTCAGGAGTTGGAGACCAGCCTGACCAACGTGGCGAAACCTTGTCTCAACTAAAAATACAAAAATTAGCTGGGTATGGTGGCTCGCACCTGTAATCCCAGTTACTCGGGAAGCTGAGACAGGAGAATCACCTGAACCCAGGAAGCGGAGGTTGCAGTGAGCTAAGATCGTGCCACTGCACTCCGGCCTGGGCAACAGAACAAGACTCCATCTCAAAAAATAAATAAAAAAAGTCATGTCCATAAACACCAGCATCAGAATCTCCCAAGATGCTTGTTGCCTGCAGATTCATGGGCCACAGTCCAAACTTACTGAGCTGAAATTTCTGAGCCTGGACTGTGCTACAGGGATTCAGGGATCTGCTAATCATCTGTTGAAGAGAAGGTCTCAACAGCCAGAAGTAGGGCTGTGATGCCTGCTTGGTTTATGGGCATCATGACTATTTAGATGTGCTCATTTCCAAGTAAAGCATTGTAAATAGCCTGTCAATTTCTTCTCAACTTATAAGTGAAGGATACATGAGTAATGGTCACAGTTGTAAGCAGAAGGCAAGCCCAGGGTCTGGAGGGAAGGATACGGGGGAACATACTTCCCTTTGAGAATTGGTACTCAGTCCCTTCCCTTACCTCCAGCGGAGTGAAACTGTAGTTTTCAAGGAAGGAAAGGCCAATGACTGGGACCAGAAGAAACTCCAGGCGGAATGTGTCATTCTCACTGTCAAAAGTTTTACGAAATTTCCCGTATATCATGTACACTGTAACATAGGCGCAGAGGAGAAAAACCACCTAAAAAGGGAGAGAGACATGGGAATCTATGAAGTCATTTCCCTGCGTATTTACTAGGCTCCTAGCCTACCAAACCTAAGGGTCAGTGTTCTGCCATAATGTAACATGAAGAGGTTAAATGTGTTTGCAATTTATCTTGAGTCCAGTTGCCTAGAATTTGAAGTCAATGACCCTTTCATTAAATAACTCCATGCTTCTATACTGGGACTGACAGAGCTACCATGAAGAGTCAAAGGTGCCCTTGTCGTCCCCTTCAGTTGTGGAACACTAGGCGAAACAGGATTGGTGTATTTCAGGGGATTTCCCAGAGGCATTCCAGGGCTGTTGAAGCAATTTTAAAACAATTTTCTAGATATGCATCAGTGACTTCTGAGCATTATTCCACAAGGACTAGCATCTTTATTATTTTTTTTTAAGGTTGCCCAGTCTGGCCTCTAACTCCTGGGGTCGAGTGATCCTCCTGCTTCAGCCTCCCTAGAATCTGGGACTACTTATGTGCCTGCTAACATTCCTTGAATTAACTGACCATTGCTCCCTCAGAAAAGCTCTCCATCTAATCACAGTAGCTGTCCTCTAGCATATAATGATTTCATTTTGATACAGCCTCTAACCTTCCAGGCCAGCAGTTCTCAAACGAGTATGCATCAAAACAGATGCTGGCCGGGCATGGTGGCTCACACCTATAATCCCAGCACTTTGGGAGGCCGAGGCGGGCGGATCACCTGAGGTCAGGAGTTCAAGACCAGCCTGGCCAACATGGTGAAACCCCATTTCTACTAAAAATACAAAAATTAGCCAGGCGTGGTGGCAGGCACCTGTAATCCCAGCTACTCGGGAGGCTGAGGCAGGAGAATCGCTTGAACCCGGGAGGCGGAGGCTGCGGTGAGCCGAGGTCATGCCATTGCACTCCAGCCTGGGAGATAAGAGTAAGACTTTGTCTCAAAAAAAAGAAACAAAAAAACAAAAAAACCCACAGATGCTATCTCTTCCCTTGCCCCAAGAGCTTTTGATTTCATAGGTCTGGATGGACGTGAGAGTTTGTATTTCTTTCTTTTTCTTTTTTTTTTTTCTGAGATGGAGTCTTGCTCTGTTGCCCAGGCTGGAGTGCAGTGGTACAATCTTGGCTCACTGCAACCTCCACCTCCTGGATTCAAGCGATTTTCCTGCCTCAGCCTCCCAAGTAGCTGGGATTACAGGTGCCCACCACCATGCCTGGCTAATTTTTGTATGTTTAGTTTCACCATGTTGGTCAGGCTGGTCTCGAACTCCTGACCTCGTGATCCGCCCGCCTCGGCCTCCCAAAGTGCTGGGATTACAGG